TCTTTGTCTATAGTGAATTTTCTGGCTTGGTCTTGAATTTTTTTTTATCCCGTGGGAGATTTTCTCCATCATCAATTTTATGGTATTATTTACTTTTCAACAATTATACAAACTGTGGTATTTCAACGTAGGATAGTAATTGCATGTGAATTCATCTAGATTAATTATTAATAGTGACTTGTAGCTAATAATAATTGGTAAACGTAAATTTCACGGTATGCATCTATTCAACTCTTCTAGGTGTTATTTGGGTTGAACGTCATTATTTTGAAGTGGTATTAGAGTCTCAATTTGATTCCTGACCTTAATTTAATCTAGATAAGTCAATCTATTTCCGTGCCTCCATATTTTGACGGAAGCAATTATGCATATTAGAAAGTTAGGATGAGAGCCTTCCTGAAATCTATGGATGAGCCAATTTGGGCGTACATTGAGAAAGGTTGGACCATCTCTTCTACTACTGTTTCAAGTGTAGTTATCCCTACAGACATTTTTCGTTTGGACTAAGGATGAATTAGTTTAGTGTAAATAGAATAGATGGGCTTCATGTCCTATTTATGGCTGTCTGTCAAAGAGTTTAGGATAGTATCGATATGTGAGACCAAAAAGAGGTATGGGATATTCTAAAGGCTACACATTAGGTTACTAAGATAGTTAAAAACTCAAAACTACAGATGTTGACCACTAGATTTCGATGAATTCTATCCGAAGTTAAATGATATAGTAAACTCTATCTTCGACTTAGGTGAGAAAATCTTGAAAACGAAAATTGTGAGAAAAGTCTTTAAATCCTTACCCGAGAGGTTTAGATCTAAAATAACGACTATTGAGGAGAGAAAGGATTTAGATACGACTAAGATAGAAGAATTAGTTGGATCTCTCCAAACTTATGAACTCGCCATATCTCAACCTAAGAAGGATAAGTCAGTAGCCTTAAACACTGTTAGGGATGAGGAGTATGACTATACAAATATGGAAAACTCTAATGATGAGGAGATAGCTTATTTCATTAAGAACTTTCGAAAAATGTTTAGAAATAAGAAGAATCCTCAAGAGAAAAATAGAGGTGTCCTAGTGAGTCTAGAAAGAAATCCTAGTTTGTGAGATGTCATAAGTGTCAAGGTTTTGGCCATTATATGAATGAGTATCCTAACAATAAGAAAAAACAGGATAAAGCTATGAATGTTATTCTCTCTGTTTACGAGTCCAACTCGAGCAATTAAAGTAAGAAGAGGGTCGTAACTATGTGGCTTTTGCCTCTATTGTTAGGAATGAATCTGATAAGGAAAGTAAGAAGGGAGAGGATTTAGAACGATGTGAGGTTTCTGAGGATGATTCAGAAATTCATGAGGCCTCTAGTCAGTTATTTAAAGAGATTCTTAAGATTAAGAAGGTGGCTAAAGTAATTCTTAAGAAGGTTAATGAACTTGAGCTAAAACGATAAAGAGTTTTATACCTAGCCTTCAAGAGTCTACCAAAAGCATTAGTAAGTTAAGATTAGTCAATGAGATAAAGGTTAAAATCCTAATAATCGATCTTGAGAAATCCAATACTCAAATCCATTTGTTTTCGAGTGGATCTCAAAAACTCGATAATCTTTTAGGGTTGAAAAAGTCTGCTTAAAGTAAGGGAGGTCTTGGATATAAGCAGACTGGTCATAATACTGCTAGTATTTTTAAAACCACTTTTGTCCCTGCCATCAACCAACCTAGATATGTTGTAAATCTTGAACCTAAGAACAAGGGTATCCTTGGATAGAGGCCTAATAAACATTGTAGGACCAACCAGCCCAGAAACTAATTTCAGGAACCACGTAGTTTTGGTCCTGGGTTTATTTCTACATGTTTCAGTTGTGGTAAATTAGGACACACAAGACCTATGTGTCATAATTTTTTGAAAAAGAATAGAAATCAGGATATCTCTAACAATGTTGACTTCTTTACTTGTTAGATTAGTTACTTGACTGAGATGTTGTCAATTGACTATGACTATTTTTGCTTCTAGAAAAGTCTGGGTTAAGAAGAGTGATCTGGGAGATTATCAATTTGATCATGCTCTTGAAAGTAAGAGCTTTTGTGTACCTCATTGAGTGTGTATTTTGGTGTATGCTTGTGCTAATTCTTTGTGTTCATTCATTATTGCATATATCTCATTTTTATCGCTTTCTATTTTGTTTGATTTAGAGAGAGAGAGAGAAAGAGAGAGAACTTTTGAAACTACAACATATTATATGATTTACTTGAACATATTTATTGTGACCAAGTATGAGTACTACTAATGATATGTAGCTTAGTTTCCATTACTTTGTTTACGCTTGACATGGAGTATTTAGTATAGATTTCTTCATGTACCATATGCACTGCACATACTAAGATCTTATGAGTGAATCTTTATCGCATGTGTGAGATTTGAGATGTCGTTCATATATTGGTAAGGTGACCTTGAATATGAATTAACCTTAAAATAGTTGAACTAAACTACAGTATATTCCCTAAAAAGAAAATTTGATTATCGTATACTCTTTTTTGGGAGTATATTTGACTCCAGCAATTAAGCTTAAGAGGTTTCTCAAAAGCTTATACCCTATGGTTATGTGATTTGGAATTAAATTATATTTATGAAATAATTAATTAAATATATATGGTATTAATTAAATATATTAAGGTCACAATTTTATAATATTTGATCACAAATTATTTCTTAGTCACGAATCAAAATTTTATAGGCCACAAATTATTTTACGGTCACAAATCAAAAAAAAAATTGAATCACAATTTATCCATCGGTCACAAATAAAAAATTTATAGGTCGCAATTTATTTATTGATCACAAATCACACATTTTATAAGTTACGATTCAAATTTTTAGATCACATATTATTTATTGGTTATAAATTATCGATCGCATTTATTGGTCAAAAATTATCCAATTTATTCGTTACGATCTCGAATGATTGGTCACATATTATTTATTGATCACAAATGAACCAATTTATTGGTCACAAACACCCACAACTACCGCACCTACTGTTATGACCACCACCCTCACCGCCATGCCACCACCACTACCTCCACTAAATATGGACGCTACTACCACCACCTCCAACACCACCACACCAACAACCAAATCCAAAACCAACACCTCACCACCATCACCGCCTATACCACCACCATCGTACCACAACCACCCCCACCAAAAAATTCCCCAAACCCCCAACCACCATCCCCATTGTACCATTACCACAGCCCGTATTCACAAATCACCACCACCACCTCTTCAAATCTACCATCTTATTCACCTCTACTACACCATAACCATCAACACAACACAAACACATGAAGAGAAAATAGATGAAGAGAAAATGTGACCAAAAGTGAAGCATGCCATCGCAATTGCGCACGAAGCAACAGCGATGCACACACATCGCCGCTGCTTCATGCGCAGCAGTGATCGGCAAAGTAGCGGCGATAGGCGTTCATTGCCTGCTGCTTCGTATGTGGCAGCGTCGCACTTCGTTGCTGCTTCGTGCGGCACTAGGCGGCTACGCTGTGCCTGTCCTGCGCGGTGTCGTGGCTATCGATCGTCGACGAAGGTGTGAAATGATGCGGCAGAATAGATTGTTGTGAAATGAAATGGTGTGAAATGAATTAGGGTTTGTCGGAGTGGGTGGATTGATGGTAGTAGGTTAATAATAATAATAATAATAATAAATTATGATCTGATTTTTGTATAAATAATTCTTTAACCTGATTATTGAAATTGGAATTGAAAAACATGGTTGGGTGTAATTTCCATTTTTTTTTTTTTTGGCTCATGGAATATAAGCATTGCTCAGTATCCAATAATATAACAAGTGTATAAATTTTCAAATATTCAGGTACTAATAGTTATGAATTATCAATAAGAGAATGGTAGTTATGAATCTCTTGAAATGTTAAACTTAACAAAAGGTCGAAATCCTATTATAAAACCACGTGCAATGCACACGTTTCTAACTTGTTCTTAAATGAAATAGAAGGAGAATTTTATTGTGCATATTCCTTCACTATAAACATATGGCATATGCTATCAAAATCTATCTATCTGCCTTTTTTTTTTTTGACATATTTTCATATTGAGACCCATTTTTTGGTTGAAATGTATTTTTGAATAGCCATTTTTTGAAGAATATGATTAAAAAAGTAAGAAATTTTTTTATGAGAGAATATGTAGTTGAAAATAAGTGTATTTTTAGAAAAATGGAGTTCAAACATGGGCGAAATTGAGAATGTAACCTCTGTTATGCACGCTTCCCAATAGGATTTGGCTAAACTCGTTTATTATCAACACGTATTTCTCAATTTGCCCTACTGCAAATACTAGCTACTAGGGAGGGCACAAAGTCAAGTAGGGGCTCAACACGACCACTGAATCGAATTTTGAGTTGAGCTCAAATCAGACTGAAAATCGAACTGATACCTCTTCAAAAACCAAACCGAAGACGTTCGATTCATCAGTTTGGACAAGCCATAAACCACCAGCATCGACTCATCCATAAAACCACCACCACTGCACCCACACAACCAGATCTGGTTGCGTTGACTGTATTCATCTCGTGTCTTCCGGAGTAAAGTTCTGGAGTTAAGTCTCCTCCTTGCTGGCACCTAAAAAGGCTTACCAACACATGCTCGTTAACTGACATTGAAAATTAAAAACTCACAGAGCAGAACAATTGAATATCCAGGAAAACATCTAAATTATCAAAAACCACAGTAATAATTTATAAAGCAACGTCAAATTCCAAAAATAGACTATTAACTCACACACAAGTGTCGCCACCGCCTGTCCAGAACCCAATTCTGGGAATCACAAACAGACAGCAACGTCAAATAACTAAGACGCAGACAACACACAAGACGAGACAAATGACTCAAAACGACATGAACAACATAAAACAAGTCTTTAGGATGATAACGGAAATATTCATTATGAAAGCAGTAGCAGACCCCAGGCAGCACCATTCACTTGGCACCCTTCTTGGCAGCAGCCTTGGTCACCTTGGCACCTGATGGCTCCTTCTTGTCAACATTCTTGATAACTCCAACAGCAACAGTCTGGCGCATGTCCCTCACAGCAAATCGTCCAAGAGGGGGGTACTCGGAGAAAGTCTCCACCACCATGGGCTTGGTTGGAATCATCTTCACCATCCCAGCATCACCATTCTTCAAGAATTTGGGTTCCTTCTCAAGCTCTTTACCAGACCGCCTGTCAATCTTGGTAAGGAGCTCAGCGAATTTGACAGCAATGTGAGAGGTGTGACAGTCAAGAACAGGGGCATAACCATTTCCAATTTGACCTGGGTGGTTCATTATAATGACCTGGGATGTAAAGCTTTCAGTACCCTTGGCAGGGTCATTCTTTGAGTCAGATGCAACATATCCACGTTTAAGATCCTTAACAGCAACGTTCTTGACATTGAAGCCAACATTATCACCGGGGAGGGCTTCAGAGAGGGCTTCATGATGCATTTCAACGGACTTAACTTCAGTTGTCAGACCAGTTGGTCCAAAGGTAACAACCGTACCAGGTTTCAGGACACCAGTTTCAACTCTTCCCACGGGGACAGTACCAATGCCTCCAATCTTGTAGACATCCTGAAGTGGCAGACGCAGGGGCTTGTCTGTGGGCCTCTTCGGTTCCTGGATTTGGTCAAGTGCCTCAAGGAGGGTTGGGCCCTTGTACCAGTCGAGGTTCGTGGATCTCTCAATCATGTTATCACCCTCAAAACCAGAGATAGGCACAAAAGGAATTTTGTCCGGATTGTACCCAACCTTCTTCAGGTAGGAAGAGACTTCCTTGACAATTTCATCATATCTTGCCTTGGAGTACTTGGGAGTTGTAGCATCCATCTGAAAATGAAGAGTTTATCAAATAAACAATCCAGAAAGCATTCACAAGTGATTTCTAGATTAGAAAGCACCAAAGATACACTTGCCAGTCCAAACATATGAAAACAAAATATTTTTATAGAAAAGGTTATTCAATGTTTAGTACATAAAATGCAAATTCATAATGTCAGTCATTGGAATGCTCTCATCAAAACCTTCGGACTTACGCGAGTAATAAAAGATTTTGGTGGGGATTGAAATTAGATTTTTAATAGATTGTGAAAAAAGTTTTAAAATGTGTGATTGAAAAGTTGTGGAACACATGAAAGATGGAGTTAATATTGATTGTTTGACTCTGACTTAGATTAAAATCAGATTTCAATCCAAAACAAACAGGTCCTAAGTGACAATTTCTCTTTTAATAGAGGATAGAGAAGATACAAAAGGGATGCTGCTGTTTGAACTCCACTACAACTGATAGCTATGAACAATTTGTTATTCATGCAGACATCAATAGCAACAAAAACAATTGACTAGAAAAATCATTTAGCCATGATTAAGGATGCAAGAATGAACAGGAAAGAAACAACAAAATCTCTAAGAAAAGCAAACAAATTGCTTGAATAGATGGAACACAGGAATAATGGTTTCTCAAAAAAGCAAAGAACATCCAAAGCATACACTAATCAGGACTGACGGGGTTTGAACCCGTAGCATCCACCCAATTTGGGGTGGGGCTCTAACAATTGAACTACAGTCCCAGCAATTAATAAAGTTAAATAGCTGTCAGAAAGGATGACCCCTCTTAGATTTACCAATAGTTCCTATGAATCAACATAGGATTGGTAATCAAGGGGTATCACTTCCATTTTTGCACAAGGACCAGTTCTGAAAAATGCAAGCAAAAAACAGCATACAGAAGCCAGTATACAAACTACTACAATGGTAGAAAATATAAAGAAATTTGTACCTTGTTACAGCAGCAGATCATTTGCTTCACACCAAGTGTGAAAGCAAGGAGAGCATGTTCACGGGTCTGGCCATCCTTAGAAATACCAGCCTCAAAACCACCAGTGGTGGAATCAATGATAAGCACAGCACAGTCAGCCTGGGAAGTACCAGTAATCATATTCTTAATGAAATCACGATGTCCAGGAGCATCAATGACAGTGCAGTAGTACTTGGTGGTCTCAAACTTCCACAGGGCAATATCAATGGTGATACCACGCTCCCGCTCAGCCTTGAGCTTGTCAAGCACCCAGGCATACTTGAAAGACCTCTTATTCATCTCAGCAGCTTCCTTTTCGAATCTCTCAATCACACGCTTGTCAATGCCTCCAAGCTTGTAGATGAGATGTCCAGTAGTTGTTGACTTCCCTGAGTCGACGTGGCCAATGACCACAATGTTGATGTGAACCTTCTCCTTTCCCATTTTAGATCTTGTTTTTAAAGCTTCTGCAAGAAAAATTAAAATAAAAAATCATTATCAGATTGAAATAATAACTATAAAAACAAAATATAGATCCCATAATCCAATTCAAATTATAAATTGGTAAGAATAAATCTACAATTAACTTGATAAACCACTTAAAGAGTGAAATAACTTCATATTTGAACAGATAGTATGTAATAAATGAATTCATTAAACAGATTAAATCTAAAATCATCATTAAAGCAAAAAAAACCTAGAAAGTAATAAATTTCTCGAATTAAAAAAAAATTAACAGTAAGATAAAATTTCTAATAGATATAAAAAGAATTACAAACTGGAGCTGATATCTTTCAAAAAAAACCATGTTACTTTTGTTGACAACCATGAGTTAAATCTGTAACATCCATTTAAAAAAAGATTTTTAAATCAACCACATAGATCCTCTCAACACATGGATTGTCATTGTACAAATAGCATTACTCATTCTCTAAAATCTCATTTTTTTTCAATAAATCATCAACCACGCATTCTCATGCTAAATTAATTTTAAACAAAATCAACGTTCTTCAATAAATCACTATTAAAAATTCTAGTTCCCAAGAAAATGGTGCTCTAACATAGCCTAAACTATTTTAATTGGTACACCGTTATAAGAAATTAAGACCACAAAAACATATGATGTATATCTCTTTATCAGATCTATGTAGAATCAAAGCAGAATTGAACAGAAGGTAATCGAAGACAAACAAATTAATCATTCCAAAAACAAAAACAAAAAAAAACAGTTACACCGCGGAATAAGTCGACGCAATTACACAATCGAAATGAATTAGTTGCACAAACCATACCTGAGTAAAAGAAAAAAAAATAGCTGTTAAACCCTAGCCTATAAAACCGATGTGCAAAGACGGAGAGAGCAGAGCAATGCAGGAATGATAGTGTGAGCCTATTTATAAGAAAGAGCAATGCGGAAGTGCTAGGGTTTTCGGACTTGAATGAATTTTACAATAATGTCCCCGGGCTGAGTGAGTTTAATGACTCTTTTGTTCTTCGCCGACTTGGACTCCAAGGAACATAGTAAATTATCGTTGTGTGTGGAGTAATTTCTTAAATTGTTTAATAAAAATTAAAGAATTTGTTTTGCTTGGCTTTTACGCGAGCATGGTGATGGCGGATGGCCCGGTAGAATCTAGAATTTGAATGGAGTCTTTGGGCTTCTGTTCGGAGCTGATTTTCTAGTCCAAAAAATGGATTTGTTGACCGCTATACAGCGGTGGTGGGTCCCGCCAATGTAAGATAAAAGGCCAAAAGTGAGACTGAAGTTGGAACTCAAGAGTACAAAAATTCATTTTCTTTTCCCACACAAAATCGGCTCCAAATAGGGGCTAAGTTTTTTTTTTCCCGTCATTTAACAAGCCTCCATATCGAAAGAGTGTTTGGCACCCATTTTAATGGGAATATAAATTTTGGAATAGTGATTTATGGGAGTATGTGTGGTGGAAAAGTGATTGACGGAAGAATGTGTGGTGGAAAAGTGATGAAAAGTTTTATATTTGCGTATAATATTATTTTATTTGAAAAATGTGGGGTTGAAATGAAGAAAAAAAAATTAAAGAGAATGAGTGCCAAACATGGGCTGAATATGTATATGCACCCCTTTGACATCCATTATTTCACGTTATAACGAGAGAAATAATAATTTTTAAGAAAATGTGTGAGTAAAGAAAATGAAAAAGTTTTTAAATTTAAGTATAATATTATTTTATAGTAAAATGTATAGTTCATAAGAAGAGAGTAAAAATAAATTATAATTTAATAAAAAAATAATGAAGGTCAAACAGGAACTATATATAGCCCCATTTTGTGGAGATTAAAATATTTTTTTTACTCAAAAAAAATATATTTCTATTTAACAAGCCTCCATTGTCAAATATGTATATATATTGCCCAGTTTTGTGGAGATTAAAATTGATTTTTAATAAATTTTAATAAAAATTGACGAAATACATAATTAAAAAGTTATGATTCCCATAACATATGTGTTTAAAATTAATTGTTAACTTTAATTTAAACTAAAATCTAGATTTTAATCCCCACTAAACATACACATAATTTATAAATGAAATTTTACATAAATTCAATTAAATTAAATATATAGTTGTATATTTATAATTTCTATGAATTATTATCCACATATATTCACCACAATAGTTATCAAACTAGACTTAATCGTCGACTCGGACAAATCATCAAGTTAGTGATGAACAAACGATTAAGTGATTTAATCAGTGTGTTATTATTAGATCTTAATTTTAATCTAAAAATATCCTTTAAATTAAAAGACATGCTAAAACCAAAAATTTATAGCCCTTGTTAAGTGAGGATTAAAATCAGATTTTTAGAAAATTGTTTTAGAAGTTGATAAAATTTGTAGTTAAAAAATTGTGGGACTCATAAAATATATAGTTGAAATGAATTGTTGACTTTGATTTAAACTAAACTCTGAATTTTAGTCGGCACCAAACATTGTCATATATTGTTGACATTTATAGTGAAGGTTCTGCAAGTGTTATGTTATGTCTTCCAATTACATAGTGGTCAAGGTTATGTTAAATTACATAATTTGTGTAATAAATTATCAACCATAAGCATGAATAAAATAATATAAATATGAAAATTGAGTTAGAAAAGTTGACCTAAGAGAGTTGGGATAAACGTAGTCCTAAAGTTGTGTAGCTTTCCCTAAGTTTGGTACTTTCGGCATTGCGCGACTCTAAGATAAGACCGTTATAGCTCGCAGTCGATTCTTCTTTTATGGGCACGACCACGGGGAGAGATAGAACAAGCATTTATCAATTGTCTAAATTATAAGAAGATAGTATGAGATAACTGGAGAATATTTTCAAGTTTTGTTTTGTTGTGTGCAAAACAATGGGATATCCACCCCCCTTTTATAGTGAAAAAATCAACACTCTTATAATGAAAATCAATCAAATTAAATATATGTTACAAATAAAATAATGAGATTATATTTTGCATTGAATCTGAAAATTAAAATAAGAAAAACTAAAAAAATTAAATTACAAGAAAACTGAAATTTTAGTTTTCAATTTGAAAGTTTTAAAACTTATTTTCAACAATTCTCCACGTGTTTTTAAACTTTCAAAATAATTATATATATGTATATAGTGGCAATATTATACTGTGTAATAGGTGTAGGTGTCTTTTAAACTTAAACCTCATTTAGTGATAACAATTTCTATTTGAGGGATTCATAATTGACTAAGCCTTAAATTATGTCCCTTTGGCCAAAATTCAATTGTTCCACACACAGTATTGATTTAGGTTCAGTTCATAGCGGGTGGCGTTGTTAATGACCATGCGTTCTTATCTTGATTCTAGTAAGAGTATCTAGGGAATAGCACAATCCTATAGCACAACTCTTACATAAGTGAGTCCTCCAAGGATGCGTGTAACTCGCACCTCGCGAGAATTCCCACCTCGATATTCATTTAGGGTTAAACCCTTCCTAACATTTGGAAAATAATTTGCGTCGTTATATCATTCAATAACATTTGGAAAACTTCTATGGCTTATAGAATAATCTAATGTACCTCGAAGATATTTAAACATTCTCTCTAGAGAATTTCAATGTTCTTTACTTGGATTGTAAGTATATCTACTAAGTCTCCCAATAGCGAAGGCTATGTCAAGTCTTGTTCCATTTGCTATGTACAATAAAGATCCAATAATTTGAGAATACCCAACTTGCAAAATTGGTTCACCTAAGTTCTACTTCAAGTACACATTTGAATCATATAGAGTAAAAAATGGCTTATAATCGTAATGCCCAAACTTTTGCAACATCTTTTTAATAGCACTAGACTAATTTCATGAAATTCTTTCAAATGTTTTCCTTAACTTCATTGCTAAAATTATATGAGCTTCTCCCAATTCTTTTATTTCAAAATTCTTTAACAAATAACTATTCACATCATTAACAAAACCTATATTTGTCTCAAATATTAATATGTCATCTACATATAAACAAAGTATCACATGCTCGCTTTTATCTTCCTTGCAACTTACACATTTTTCATGTGCATTAATTTTAAATTTATAATTTAGCATAACTCTATTGAACTTCTCATGCCACTATTTAGGAACTTGCTTTAGTTCATATAATAATTTCATTAATTTACATACTCTACGTCTTGTCTTTTGATTTTAAATCTTCTGGTTATTCCATATGTACTTCTTCAACTAAATCGCCATTAAAAAAATGCAGTTTTAACATTCATTTGATGAATGATCAATTTGTGAATACTAGTTAGTGCTAACAATAGTAGTGGCCAAGCCGAGTGGCTCGTAGGCTTGCCCGCTCTGCTCGTACTGTAGCAGCCCACGAGCCAGTCCGGTTCATCTTTTGTCGAGCTCGAGAACGAGCCGAGCTTGTAGACGAGTCACTCGGCGAGCAGCTCGTCTACGAGCCCGTTGTATTTAAAAAATAAATAATAATAATAATAAAAACAAAATTCAGTGACCAGAACGGTCACTGAATTAACTGAAAAATTCAGGGACTAGAAACGGTCACTGAATTTCAGACTTTTCACTGACCGTTTTGGTCACTAGAATTTTTTTTTCTTTTTATTTTTTTCTCTATAAATACCCACCCCCTAATCAACATTTTTTCCAACCAATCCTCTCATTCTTTACTCTACTCTCTACAATTTACAAATTACCAACATTCAACAATATCAAATTATCAATTCATTTCATTCTATTATTATCTTCATATTCTATAATTTTTTTATATTATTATCTTGATTTTACTTTTACAATT